CCCCCCCCCCCAGAGAAATTTCCTAGCTACGCCCCTGCATGCATAAAGATCAATAGCGAATTCAATCTCGACTTAATGTTTCCGGGGCTGCATGATTTTTCAGTTTTTACCAGTCGCCTGTCGTTTTCTGATGAGAGAAAATCTGGATACAGTATGCCGTGCGACATTTATTAAAATAACTCTTCTTTCTATATGTTAAAAATTCAAATCGGTTCATCGGGCTCGTCCTAGTCCAATTTTTTTCTTCCTCATAATTGCCTTAATCTAACGGTATTTCAAGTTTGAAACCAACCTCAAGTTTGCTGCCTAGTTTTTTTTCCCCCGATTTGTTTCGGATGTCGATTTCTGTATCCCTCTAAATGACACTATTCAAACATCACCGAAAAATTCAGAGATTCAAAATTATAAACTAAAATCCGGCGACTTGAATGACGAATCTCGCCGTTTAATCAAGGAAAATTTGTAACGGAATTAATGTAGCGTTGTTAGAGAATTAAACTATTGTGGGTGGAATTTTTTTCCCCTTTCCGTTTTCTTGAAGGTCTTAATAATCTTTTTCCCCTTTCCATTTTTTTGAAGGTCTTAATCATCTTTTCCCCCTTTCCATTTTCTTGAAGGTCTTAATAATCTTTTCCCTTTCCATTTTCTTGAAGGTATGGTTCAGCAATCGACGAGCGCGGTGGCGAAAACACGGAACGCGACCCGAGTCCTCATACTACCCTCAACCTACAGACACAGGTCCCGCTATGCTCTCAATCACAGGTACAAAATAATACAGATTTTATTCAAATTAAGCAGGACGTGAAAAATACTCAGACAGACCTGCGTTAAACACGAAAAATTATCATAAAACAACCTAATTGGAAATTTTGAAATTAACCTTTTGCTAATTCTTCAAGATTCTCGAAAGTAGGTATCATTTGACAAGATATGTTTTAGGTGGAGAGTGAGTTTGAAAAAATAAGCAAGTGAGAAAATTCTTCAAACATCCTAACAATAGGAAAATATCTCATGGGTTGATTCACTCTACTGGACTGCGGTGGCGCATAGGCTGATGTTTTGGGGGTAGGGAGACGAAATTGAGGGAACTACATAATCCGCTGACGTGAATTGTGAGGGGGTGGGGGGGCAGAAAATGTCCCCCATTTTCTGTCGTTCCATACATGCGCCGTCACTATAATAGGGGGGTAGGCCATAATTTATTTTTGGTACTTACAATCTCCGACTCGATGAAGAGAGATGAAAAACGTAATTTTTATCTCTATCTAATGCCATCCAATCATCGGGCCGGAAATCGTGAGTGCGCATACGTACCGAGAAAAAACTAAAATGTTAAAAAGCTCAAAAAAGCATGCCTTCGCCGATGTCACCTCTTAATTACAAGTTTTTGACGACAAATCTTTTGGGTCAGCTCGATACTTTAGGCAAACCACTCCTCCCATTACGGTACGGCTTGTTCCGACTTTTCCATTTTTTTAGCACAATACATTTCTCTCAACTTGTCCTCTCTAGGCACTCCAGATTGGTCTGATATCATAAGCGGGACAGCGCTCAAACAGCCTCCTTGCACTGGATTTGAACCTCCCTCTGTGTACAACCCAAACAAGGATCCAAGGCTCCCAACCAGCCATTATAACAGGTATTTCTATTTATTTTTCTTAAGATCACAGGGAATCTGGGCCAAATTTGTAAAATGTATGGTCAACTTTTTTAATAAGTTGAGTGGGATTCGTTCAGAAAAAAAAACTGCATAGGTAGCTTGTTCGTTTGAATTAGGCTTCTGATCTACTAAACATCAACGTGCGAATTTCTTTAGATTTTCGAGCTTGAGAAATATTCCCAATATTTTCCTTACTAATTTAATGTTGACAATACAAGTCCCCTGGTGGTTGAATAGTGGTATCATTGTGAAATAGTACGCTCATTGGAGCCCTGGTAAAAATTGGCGATAGGAGCTGCGTTTCAAAATACCATAGGAGTTCTTATAGCCGACTGAAGAGGGAGATAGAAAATCATATAGCTGGCTGTAGAGAGTGGAAAAAATCGTACGGCCGGGCTACGCGAAGCGATAAAAAATTATACGGCCGGGTTATAGTTCCTATCGCCGGGCTTTACACTTTATCGCCTGGCTGTTGCTTTTTCGCCATCGGCTTTAAAAGGCTATAAGAAATTGTGTAGAAATTCTTGTGCTTTGTAAATCCTTAAGTTTGTACGGAATCACCTTAATATTTACAAAACGCACATTATATTTTCCTTTACTACATATTTTTTTTCATCAATTAAAATGAGAATAATCCATACAGAGTGTGCAAACATTCAAAGTCATGAGTTGAAAAACGTTGACTCCGCGAGATTAAATATTAGAGCCTAACACAAAGCGGAGCGGCGGCGCACTGACGCCTTCAAACCTAACAGGGATACTTCACGCATTGCGCAATGCGTGAAGTATCCCTGTTAGGTTTGAAGGCGCCAATGCGCGTTCAGCGCTGACTGCCCGCCCGCCGCGCCGCGCCGCGCCGTAGCGTACCGCGGCGCTTGAAGCAACTTTTTCACACCAGAGGTATTGCAGAGTATCGGAAATGGGGCCTCGAGGTGAATGTTAGCAAAACCGAGAAGTTGACCGTTGGCGGGAATCAGCAAAGTATAGAATTAGAGGATGGGCAGCAAATTGGAAGCTGCGATATTTACAAATATTTAGGAGTGTTTTTAACCCAGGATGGAAGATTGGACCGGGCCATCAAGAAGAGGAATATGCTGGGTAGGAGGGCAATCGCTATGTTAAATGGAGTCCTTTGGGACCAAAGGATCTCCAAAGAGAACAAAAGGAGGATTTACAACGCGATTGTCAAGAGCATAGTAACCTACGGGTGTGAAGTATGACCGATGAAACAGCGGACCCGGGAGGTTTTAGAGGCAACAGAGATGGACTTCTGGCGTAGATCCGCGGGTATTTCCAGAAAGGATCGCGTCAGGAATGAGACGGTACGGGATATCACGGATGCCAAGCAGACCATCGTGCATGACATTATGACAAAACAACTCATTTGGTATGGTTATGTCCAGAGAATGGCAGGAGACAGGTTGCCGAAGAAGGTCCTTGACTGGGTTCCTCCTGGGAGAAGACGCAGAGGGCGCCCAATGAAAGGTTGGAGGGAAGGGATCGAAGCGGAAATGTTAAGGTGCTCAATCCCCCAAGATTTGTGGTTTGAAAGAGAGCAGAGGAGGTTAGGAGTCGTAGAGCGCGAGGGAGTGCTGTAAAGCGACTTATATGTATGTATGTAGGTATTGCACAGTATCATACGAAATTGAAGGCGCTCCAACATATTAGGAATGGCAGGCATTCTTCAAAAGTACGGAGCTTTCCTCGCAAATTAAATCAAGATACTGCGGCCCCAAAAAGAGAGCGGTAGTCCAAAAACTCACTAAGTCCTAGCATCCGTAATTAGTAAGGTTTAGCATACTTTTTATCGCCAGGCTGTTCATTAATCGCCATCGGCTATAAAAGGCTATGAGAAATTGTGTTGCCGGCTATAGAAACTATTGGAAATCTTACAGCCAGCTGTAGGTCTATGGTATTTTGGAACACAGATTCTACTGCCAATTTTTACCAGGGAGGCACACGAAAAAGAACTAACTACCAAACGAGCAGTGGCGTGGCGTGAATTTCGGTGTATCGATTGTTATGCCATTTAAACCTATATACAAGGATCGATAGGCAGGGTGTTCGCAGCGAACACCTTAATAATCGATTTTTTACCATAGGTTTAAATGGCATAACAATCGATATATCGCAATTCACGCCACGCCACTGCAAACGAGAAGAGTTCAAATGAACGTCATTCAATTTGCATTCAATTTTTTGTATAGATAGTCCCCCTAGATAGATTTGTCCCCCTTTAGATAGTCCAACAATCTTTGTCAGCGAATTTGATGTACCTTTCAGTTGTCGTCAGTATCGTCCCCCTTTAGATAGTCCAACAATCTTTGTCAGCGACTTTGATGTACCTTTCAGTTGTTCAGCTGTTTGGACTTGACAAGCAGAAAGCAGAAAGAGGCAGATGGTGAAGGGAAGAGAATAAAGAATGAGGGCAAAGAAGAAGGAATGAGAAGAATAAGGAGAAAAAAGAGAAAAAGAAGATATGAGAAAGAGGAAAAAGAAAAGATTTAATTTTAGATCCAAGCAGATTTATTTTAGCTGGAAACGACAGGACAAACTGGTAATGTCTTCCTTGTTGCCAGCGCAACACATACAATATTTAAAAAAATGTGAGGATATTAAAATGGTTAAACCTAAAGGAATGAGACATTTAGGTAAAATAACACACAGAGAGACACTGTGTCCTGTAAGAGCAAGAAAAGGCATAGGTAACGCCTTCACTTTTTTCGTGGACAACATAGACTACTCTCGAACACGAATAGTTGCACCAAGGCGCTGCAGTCTAAGTGGTGTTTGAGATTGTAACCTCAGTTTGCGTGGTGCAGCTTTTATTCGTGAGTGGAACACTGAAGGCAAATGCCTACATCTTTTGCGAAAGAAATACGGGATTGCTCTGGAATATGATTGGTTGGATTAAGGCGCTGCAGTCAACATGGTGATTGATATTGTAGCCTCTTATTGGATAGTTGGGTGAGTCGGTGGACCGAAAAAAAATTTCCCTCGGAATTGCTTGTGGCTAGTAAAGATATTTTTCTAGGGTAAAAATGATGAACATTCGTTCAAATTGCATCAAAAAGTATTTAAAATTATGGAGTTCCGAATAGAGCACTCACGATTTTTTCACCGATTTTTTCTTGTAATTTTTCATGAATGGAATATTTTCGTAACGGCTAGTGAATAAAAGACTTTAATTCAAAACAAAAGGAGGCTTTTCAGCAAAATTTCGCTCAACTGGAGATAGATGATTTGAGGTTCCAAATAATTGATTCGAATATTTCAGAATTGGAGTTGCTGAAAAGTGCAAGCTCTCGGAAAATGTTGATTTTCTCAACCGCCTCCTCTTAATGTAAACAAGTCCCACACATTCTTTGGGTTCTTTGGCTCAGCTGTTGCACATTGTTAAGACTTTGAACAACACGATGCGGGGAGGTAACATTTCTCCATTGAGAGGCCTGCCAAAATCTTTTAAAAGCGCGTCTTGACTCAAGTAGACAGTGTTTTGTACCCAAAATTCTCGTAAGTAGGTAAACGAATAACGTTAATACCTTTCAAATTAATTTCCGTAAATTTCGTTGCGCGATTCGTGTTCTAGTGAGATTTTGGTTGAAAACTATTATTATACCCAGTTCTTAAATTCGTACTTTGGCGGCAAATTTGGCAATTTTTTTTGTAATGTAGGTAAAAAAAATCGGATTCAGAAAAATAATTACAAACGAGAGAAGGCGACAAAATCTCTCATTTCCTGAGAGTAGGTATAATTTCTAATTTTGTCGTCTTTCAATGATACAAGAGACAGCACCTTTGATTAGTCGAGTTGAGAGAGCAACCAAACACGCAATTTGGCTTGGAACGGCGCGGCGCTAGCGCAGAAAGCGATGATGACGAAGACTTGAGATGAAATGAGAAGCCCTCGGCGCGGTGGTCGGCATGTAACACATATAAGCGCCTACAAGAGTGCATGAATACTTCACGCATTGCGTCCACCACAGTGCGGACAGCAGCGGTCGGCGAGAAATGCATAGCGCCTACAAGACTGTAGGAATACTTCACGCATTGCGCCAAACACAGTGCGGTCAGCGCAGCGCGGTGCTGCGCGCGGCGGTGGAAGTTAAAATCATTAAGTCACATTCATGTTTGTTCTTTCTTAATTTGTTCGTTCATTTCTTATAAATGGAAGCTTGTCCACACAGTATAGGTTTACGGAACTTAACTTTAGCTAGTAGTGTTGTCAGGGCTTTCGCAACAAATATGTGTCCAACACTGGTGAACGCGTCTTGCGCACCCCTTCCCCTCCGGCACGTTCACTTGATGGTTTTTAGTGATGTTTCAAATCGAATGAGAAGAAGGCGGCCAAATACAGGCCTGAAATGAGAAAAATAATCAGTACTTAGGCATCAAAAAAAGCTACGGCTAACGAGGCTATGCTGCCGTGCTAAGGAAAAACGCCGTATGGACCTTTAGGCGTTGCCAAATTTCCTGTGATAAAACACGACTTAGCTGGAAAACTTATGAATATTTTCGCTCTAGTTTTTCAGATAATTTTGTTCGCAATTGAACCTTAAATTCCTGAAAATTTCAAGGAAAAATGTTCATAACTTTTCTCACAAAGAAACATTTTATCGAAGGAAATTTGGCAACTCTCGAATGTTCATACGGCGTTTTTCCTTAGCACAGCTATGCAGAAACTACACGGGAGTACCTATACAGTAATCGCTATACTAGTACTTTGATTATGTTTCACCTAAACGTTTACCAGAGTCCGATGTCAGCCCGTTGATCATACTTTTTACAATGCTGTTGTGAATTATGTAGGTACTAAAATATGTCCTAGGATTGTGTTCCTGACCTCGACCGACACTGTTTAGAGAACAGCACTCAATACTGAATCATTTCAAATTTTCTGTTTCAGTGGCCTCCTTTACGATGCTAGTCAGCAGCCATCGACATGCCTTCTGCAAAATCCCTACCACGGTCTGATATGAGTCCCCATGGGAATTACGACACGAGACAACGTTTAGACGAGATCTTCTGAAGAGCTTACTGATGAAAAATTGGAGTTTGAAAATTCAGATCGTTGGTGAAAAAGCAAAAACGCAAATCTTGGTTTCGCGCAAATTTGCCGGGCAAAATTAAGTAAATTGATAAAAATTTAGCGTTATTTTCTTAAACCTTCCCGATTTTTTCTCTCGTGTGAGAGATATTCTGCAAAAATTTCCAGGGATAATTCTGGTTCGTCCTCTTTTTATTAAATACGGTAGGTACAAGAAAGAGATTCTGAGACACCACAAACGAGATTCGCGTTTTTGTAATTCCACCCTTGATCCCTATACTTATGCAACTGATTTTCGGCCTAATTCTAAATACTTTATCATTTTTTGTACCTGAATTGTTAGCTTTACCTAAAAATATATTGTATATACTTGTATTGTACCTAATCTACGGTGACTGGCGTTTTATGTGGTGTACTGATAGAGAATAGGCACTCCCTACATTTCTTTAAGATTGATATACCAATCTGTGAGAATTCTTAAGTACGTCAACATTCTGAATTTTCCGAATCGGTAGAAATCCGCTCTTAATAGGTAAGGGTCAAAGATTTTTATTTGAAATTTAGACCCATGTTCCGGATAGCACTAGGTATGAGAGAGTTTTTAAAATTGAAAATTAAAAATCTATATACTTGAGCCCAAAAAGGTGCTGTAACTGTACTGAAAAGGAGTTGATACGAAAACGACCCCCTCCATCCAGTATTCCCTTTATTTTTGGTATAAACGAAGTGAACCTATACATACTAAGAGGTATTTTACCCCAAAATTTCAGCTCGAAAAAAAATTTGGCGGGCAGCACGC